GGTTTTGGGGGGGGGGGGGGAGGTGTGAAATAAACCCCCAAAGTTTGGCTCCTGGAGGGCGATTTTCGCAGTTTTGTATATTTCCAGTCGAGATGCTTATTAAATGGAACCAATTTTTTTGAAAAAATGCAGAATAATGTATTTTCTACTTTTAAAAAAATACTTTTAAATGCAATTGATTTCATCAAAATCGAATCGATAGTTTTTTTGTTATAACAATTTCGCACTTTTTAACCCTTACAAATTCTTATGCATTCACTCCACCAGAACCGACCAAAATGCATTTTTCATTATTCATCATGAGGATTACTCTCTAATTGGTCCTATTTAAATATCTCAACTGGAAATATACGAAATTGCGAAAACCGCCCTCGAGGAGCTTAACTTCGGGGGGTTGACTTCAACCCCCACCCCCCTAAAACCATTTTTCCGCCGATAAAAAAAATACGTGTCTCTCGTCCAGCACGATAGAAAATATGTAACAATATGTATGTAATATATAACAATATTCTCGTGCTGGAGAATAACATATTTCAAAACGAACGAAATTGTAAAGGGACACCTGAGGTAACTTCATGTGGTAATTGTAAGAGAGATGTAACTAATTCTGGGGGTATTGATTCGTTTTTCTTATAATTATAAAAAAAAAGTCTATCCACGAGATTAGCGAACTAGGCTCATATGGACATCACAATTGTGACATGTTGCTATTATAGATATTAATTAAATATGTTAAGTAACTCTGAAATTTTTATCACACAACTCGGAGGCAAAGCTACTTGTGGCTCACTAGCATATACGTACAACTTCACCTGTCACTTAAAGATATTTTGCTCGTGGAGCGACTTTTCTTATATACATTGAAAAATATTGTAGATTATTCCCATTTTGAAGAGAGCATTCAAACATCGTTGTTCTTTAACGTAAACATTCTTTACGCAACGTAAATAGTTGCACTGCCAGATGTGTGTGCCACTATTATGTTAACTTAGAATTTGTAATTGAACTCGTTATTATATTTCCGTAGGACTGTAAACTACACCCTGCCATTAGAGCATATACATATCCTTACGTTTCCTAGAAATTATCCATGTTGCCAATTATAAATTCACTAGACTATTGTTCTCCTACATCAGGATTCACAAATATGAAATGAGTGATATCAGATATATCATATGATATTGCCTGTAGTAATAGTTATGATAATAATAATTTTGTATGATATGGTTAGTGAAAACCATAACGAAAATATGTGTTTAATTCATGAAAAATAAGTGTATCACGTATCAGGCAGTGGGTGTTACGTACACAGCTTAAACTTCAGAAGTAAATGTATCATTCACTTTTATCTCACAAAAAGGAAAACACATTAACGATACTTTTATATTCGTATAACTGATACTGACTAGAGTATTAACAGACAGCTTAACAGAAACAATCGGAAATGCGAATTCTGCAATTGCTTGTACCTATACTCTAAATATAAAAGTTCGAAATTTCAATTTTACCTAATTAAACTTTTTATCGGAATGCTTTACTCTCATTCATAGTATGTACTTATGTGTCGATCTCTGTATGTATTTACGAGTTCAAGAATTATATGAAATATATTCGGGAGAATAACTATCTTATGAACTAACAATAATAATAGTAATAATGTTGCATGTACAAAAACAAATATTATTGCGAAGTCGACGGGATACAATCTTTCGACTGTCCGGTTCCAAGAAGATCAGAAAGAAATTTTTTGAACTTCATATCCTTTGCATCACTCGATGATTTGCGCTCTACAATGAGCTTGCGTTTCTTTGCTTGAAGTTCTTTCGTTTGGATTGGATCATTATCGTGGGTATTTATATGGTCTATGTGCTTTCGCTTGCAATTCTCGATTGTATCAGGTTTTTGCGTTTCTTCTCTGGCGCGACTCAATTCTGCCGTTAAATCGCCAATTTTTTGTTCCCACTCTTCGAGATGCTTTCTCATTTCCGCCAGTTGCGTATCCTGATCGTGAATCTTCTTTGCTTGCTCTTGCAGTTTTAAACTTTGCAAGCGCATTTGAAACCCTTGCCTTTTCATTCGTAGTTTTAGTTTACTTATTTGACCTTTTACCGACAGCACAGATAGTCTGTTTTTTCTTGTTTTACAGTAAATCTTCTTGAATGTTTGGTTTAGCTTTTCTGAACTAAAACTATGTGGCAGTGATGATGTATTTGCATTGGCTGTATGATGTGATATCATAAGACTTCCACTTGGCAACTCATAAGAGGTGACATTGCTAACAACGGATGTGCAAATATTATGTTTTAAATCAGGCAAAATTTTCTCATCAAAATGCTCCATTGCCATGCTACTGATATCTCGTAATTCTTGAAGGATCTCATGTGCCCGTGGTGGAGTTTTTGAGTCCCGTATTAAACGTAATACTCGAAAAATCTCATCTATAACCTATTTGTGTTCAAGAGATCCAATTAATATAATTCATTAATTCCAACTATATTAAGGTACTATTGTTATGCATATCTTGAATTACTAACAAGGTATATAAATTTCATAGAAACTAATATACTTAAAAATTTGATTTAAAAAAATAGATTAACTTTCTGAACCATAGTTGAACTGAGTTTATATTACCTGCAAAGCTAATTTTTATACCATTCACTAATTTTTTTAGAAACTTACTTTTCCTGGGATAAAACAACAGAGATTCAAGTCCACATATTTAATGAAAGTCATAGACAACATAGAAATTCTAGTTTCTATTGCTGTCAATATATCACAATGGCGTGCCAATGGATGACTTCTCCTCTCCGATTCTCTGCGTGGCAGTTGGCTCTTGACAGCTCGTAAACATTGTCCATGATATTTCTCCATAAGATTGAAGCCACGATTCAGTAGCATTTTACACGTTCGGTCAAATTGTTTACAAACCTGTATGCATTAACACAAAATATAATCATGCATATACATCATAATTATTTATATATGAGCTGATATAAATAATCATTGCAAAGCTTTAAACGTATTAAAACAAAAGATTCAAAGAAGGAGGCAGATATTAACATTAAGAGAAAAACAACTATTCAATTATATATCACTTGATTGTTCACAAGGTCTGATGAAATCAATGCCTTATCAAAGAATTTACTACAAACATTAACGCCTCGGTATTTCAAAATGTTTGTAAACAGAGATAAATAATTTTGCGACGTGGAAAATTCTAGAAATAGAAATAATGGTATCTTACGATTCTGTTTCTGGCAATTTCATCGTACGTAAGATTAGAAAGAATTGTCTCTAAGACAACATCGGGTAGGTTAATCAACTGCAACATCTTTCCCACGGTGCTTTTTTTAAAATAAAAATCTTCTGATGAAACACAACAGCATACGTCTTTTCGTCAAATTCAGTGACATCCACAATGATTGTTCGAACCTGTTCGAACCCGTTAAGGAAAAGACACAATCCGACACAATAGTAAATGAGGAAGAAAGCCAAGAACTCGTGCACTGTGGCGAACTGTAGCAAAAATGTGACCTCCTCCCCCCCTTTCTATCATTGGTCCAATATACAAACGGACGGATGCACTTGACCGCGTATTAGAAGCGTACGAAAGTGGAGAAACATCGAGACGTAGCGCGCACATCAATGGCAGCCAATAGGAAGCATCTTGGATTGGGTGAGTCGGTGATTGTCAGAAGCAGATGGCTTTCAGCGACGCAGCTGCCATCTCTCGGTAATTGCTTACATTAGATACAGCCATCCAACCAGCCAGAGAGGCACCTGGGTATTCATAAACGTGCAAATTCCCACAAGGGAGCGCGAGTGAGCTCCTCCACTTGTCGCGATCGCGTCGCTAGCGTTTCCTCTCAGCCTCGACATCCAGTTTCCCGTAAGCCGCTCGTGCGTTCGTTCGTTCGTACGTTCGGTCGTCGCGATTTCTCCCATTCATTTGGTTCGACCCCGAGACATATCCACCGTCCCCTTTGTCCTCGAGGTTTTAACAACCGTCGAGGTGTGCTCGTACGAGAGACTGATAAGAAGAGAGAGATAGAAGGAGAAACATTTATCAGACTAGACAGCGACGATGGCATTCAACGGAGACGGACCTCATTCCAAAAGGCAGCGATTGGAGGAATCTGGTCATAGGGTAAGTAACTTCCTAGTGCATTGCTCAGTGAAAATCATTCATCTCAATACGCTCCCATTTTGTTTGGCGATACCATTTGTAGATCCGGTAATATGCACGCCCTACCATGCTTTTCAAGCGGTTGTTCCGTTCGCGCGCCCCTTTGGCACGCCGCTACGTTTACGTAGTCGCCATTTATCCCTATTATACTCGACTATTCCGAATGCTCTTTTTGGATACGTCAGAGATCATTCTACCTTGATTACGCTCGTCAAGACAATTGACTATTGTCCATCGATAGACTTACTTGTCCTCCGAGTTACTTTTATACTCTCAGCTTGCGCCTTCTTCGACAACCTGTTATCTCCTACGGTCGCCACAGGTTCTGCCGCGGCTAATATTGATTATTTCGTGAAGCCGGTCGCCACCGTCGTCGTCGTCACCGTCTTCCTCGGAATTGAAGTTGTGATTGCTGGTGGAAATCGTCGTTGCCACTTTTATGGATGATATGTGAAGCGGCTGAAAAACAACTGTGAAACGGGATCGATAGTTTCTCTGCCAAGTACGGTGCTCAAAGGCCAAAGACCCGCGTTTGCTCGGCTGCCACTGACGCGACATTCGCTTCTTGCCATTTTTCCTTAGCGATCACAATCCGCGTCGACTAACGAGATGGCACTTCCTCTGTTTTATCGTCTATGTCATTTCTGGTAGTAGTACCGACAACTCGTTACTCTTTTAACTAGGATGACAGTTGTCTGGGCTGTCATGCCAAGGACAGGCTTGCTCCATATTTTTTTGTACCATGACGATAGGTTTTACCAGTCCTACATTCTCGTTTTATTTTTCCATTCTATCCTTTATTTTATTTTTTTGCGACACATGGAAGATTTATTGTTTTTTTTTTATGAGTCTTTTAAAGTATTTTTTTTCTTGAAGATTAATTTGATCTTTGAATATCTAAACTTCAGACTGACTCTTTTTTTACGTGGTGTGCCAATAGAGTCAACAAATTGTGTTATTATGAGTCTCGTTTGAGTAATCATATTGCAAATTTCATATGTCGGTTAATATAGTAACCTTGAATAATATACATGAATGGACAGTTATACCGTTGGAACTGCCTCTGACAAGTTTATCGGGAGATGTAAAAATATATGATATACTTACGTAGAAGACGTCTAAAACGCGTATTAAGGACTAGCAGAAAATTAAAATAAGGTCAACGATCTAATGGTGACATGTATAAATAAATAAATGAACGTATGCAATACGTTTTTACGATACATTACGAGAATAATATTAAACGACAACATGAATGATTTGAATTTGCATATGCTATAAATATATGCAATTATTGGCGAACACCGTGGAACACATTTGCTGTAATGTGTACGTTATTGTAATTAGGAAACAATGGCGTTGAAATTTTCACGTATCAATCGTACCGAGTGCATTCGGTGCAGTTCGGAGAGTCGTCAAGAATCACGTCGTCATGATATTACACAATAAATCAATGGTTTACTTATGTCCCTTAATCGCGTATGTAGATAATTATTTTGATCATGCAATATTTATAACAGCGTGATGGTCCTCGCTGTCATAAAATTGTAGTGCAAGCCTATTGGCTCTCAATCGACTATTTAAATCGGATAACGTTACTGTTTTCTCGTGTGTAAAATAACATCGGACAGTCGATATATTAGATTTCTGCGTAACCGTGTATGAAGAATCCTAAAAGAAAAACGTGATAAACAAATATGAACGATGAATAAAGCAACACGCCCCATCATATGTATATCTGAATCTACATATATAGCATGGCATGTATTACGTATTTCAGCAATACTTCACAAACGTAATAACGAGCTCGTGCTAATGGCCGTTTACCATTTGCTGATTGTAATAAAAATGCTCGAGTTCGTTAGGGCGATTTCGAACTTGGTGAGCAATTTACTGTTGCACCCAGCCATTCCTGGTCGGCTGTTGGGCGTAATCGAAGCGTTCGTCCGCCTGTACCGCTGGCTCAGAATCGCACAATATGAAATTTTTAATTACAGTAATTATTCGTCAAGTATAATTATTTTTATATTGGCAGCCAGAAGCCTACGTATATCCCATAAATGGTAGGCATGTTTGCTGGCAGATCTGTTTCACTGAAAATTCCATCTAACTTGCCTAAAGAAAAGACGAGTAGTAGAATTTTGAAAATACTTGTTTTCTTTACGAGTATAGCAAGATTCTACACCCAAAGGAAAAATTATATACGCGAAGTGGTCAAGGACGTTTTACTGGAGCAGCCACCGTTGGTCGTGAAGGAAATCCATTCGTCTGTAACATTTTAAAGCGTATTACGTAAAGGTAATACGTAGCGTGTGTTCTTCGTTGAATTTTGAAATCTGTATAGGATAAGCTAGACGATTTCAAATGAATCGGATGCTGTCTCGCATGTATCATAAAACGAACGAGAGTCGGAAAACGATACCGGCTATAAATTAAGTTTTCGCAATGGCGTCTTCGGCGTGGTCGTGACGCCAAGACAAGGTCATTGTCACGCTGAGGCCTCTTGGTGTTACTTTTCGCCTGTGAAAGTCTCTACTGGGCCCCTCACCGTTCTATATGCTAGTCAGTCGAGCCTGGTCACGGGGGAGAGCCACTCGCATGCACCTCTCGCGAGGTATAGGCGGCTACGTTGCGATGTGCGCGAATTCGCGGGAGAAGGAACGCTGTATGGAAGAAGGTAAGAAGGACGGGACGGTACGAGAGAGAGAGAGAGATAAAAGGGACAAGCAGCAAACAAGTATCCCGGTACCCCTACGCACCCGTACATGGAGAATGAGAGAGAAAGAGGGAGAAGGTCCTGCCGATAGAAAACAGAGAGGGACAGAGGCCTACGGTCTCCTGGTACGAAAGTTACTCGGGCAGTTACCATGGGCATGGCCATGTATGGGACGGCGGGAGCGCGAGCCACACAGGCTGTAGCGTCCAGTCTCGCGATAATGCTTTTATTTCAGACTCGTAAGACGTACTTACAAACTTCACGCTAGTGGTTGGGCTCTTGCGAGTTCTCTCGGTCGCCGCAACGCGGCGTCGTGTTCCATCGCCTTGATCTTAGTTTTTGGAAAGTTTGCGAGCGGGAATTCACAGTGAATCTTTGTCACGTGATGCACTTCAAAGTTATCTACTCGAAACGATCTCGTTGAAAATCTCGTGTACTATGTCCAATTGTCCGACACTAACGGCAAGAAGAAGAGAACGGGAGCAGCAGTGCGGGTATGAGGCCTCGAGTTCTGCCAAGCGGCAGTCACGTGCCGTCTCTCAAATCTTACGAATGTGAGTGTGTCATACCGACGAAAATATCTCAACCTCCGTATCTTAGCGCAAGACATTCTAAACCCTCATTGCTTAGATATAGGGCGTGCGTATAGCTGGACTGATGTAACGCGCGAAAGAGTAAAAGGGATAAACGAGGCAGTTGTCTTGTTCTCGAAATCACTTTGTAATTTTTTCACACGAATCTCAGTAATGGTAGGCACCTTTTTTTTTCTCTTTCCTTGTACGAATTTATTTCTTCTACTAGCTATGGTTTTGGCCTTTCTCGATGTTTCTCGTCGTCCGCGTCTCGACGAGGCAAAAGAGTCACGCGACGAGTGACGTCCGCTAAAACAGTTTCAATTCTCAATTAGCTATATAGACCATTAGCGGAATCCAGTGTAACAAGTATGGGTGACTTTAAGCATGAAACAACGAAAGCTTTGGATAGCGGATAAAGTTGCGCGGCAAATTTGAAGAGTAATAAATGAAAATGGCGGAGAGGAAAAATGAGCTGAAGCAACGTGTACGCCGAGTGGGCCATAGATCACGCGACCGAATGGATTCTCTCTGAAATTGAAATGCTTGCGAAAATCCTTGACGTGAGTTACTTTGCACGAAATGAAGTTGGAGCTTCTCTTCGTCCTTCTCCTCTGTCTTATCGAAAATGGGAATTGCACTGACGACTCCTGGATAAAGTTCCTCCTCTCTAGTGCGGGGAGCTCTGGTCGCTCTTCGTTCTCTCAACTTCAGCGCAGACAAATACGTCGAATCGGATCCGTGACTACGAGGAAAATTTATCTATCTGGTGGCCGAACTCCTCTTCGCTGAACAAGGTGAATTCATCCGCAATGGAGGATTCGAGCCGCGAGGCGAAATCGCATGGGAAAACGAACATTTGAACGGGGAGAAATCAATCGAGAATAGAGGGCAACTTCTCACGGGAATTAATCCTGCCTGCTCCTTTTTTTTTTTTACTCTTCTTACCAACTGTTGATCAAACCTTAGTCCTGTGTCACGACTTTATCCTCAGTTTAACAACATCCGATGATTTATTTCGTAGGTTTTTCAGGTGACCTGGATCTTTAATATCCTGAAGTTTATTTGGTCGAATCTGAAATTGATCTAATAAAATACTTGAGTCAAGTTGAAGCCTTTTTTTTCCTTCCTTAGAAACACGACCGAGTAATAAGAATCACTATGAAGGAGCA